TCTCTCTCTCTCTCTCTCTCCCACATACGCACTATTATGTTTATCCACGGGAAGTGTACTTCTTGTTTTTTCTTCTTCTTCTCCTCCTCCTCCTTCTCCTCTTCCTTCGTCTCATTCCTTTTCGTCTTTCTCACTTTCTATCTCTCTCTCTTCCTCTTTTCCATTCTTCCTCTCTCTCTCTCTCTGTTCCTCTCTTCACTCTCTCCACCCCGAATGCCGCGGCAGAACAGGAGGAGCGAAAGTAGGAGCCGAGAAAATACGCAACCGACAAAATGAGATGTTGCAACGGCTGGTGGCATGTGGCAACTGCTGCGATTGCAAAGGGAGAGAGACCGCGAAAGGAGAGGGGACTATTGAACGATTCGCTCCCACTCGCTGCACGATCTTCTCTCTCTCTCTCTCTCTCTCTCTCTCTCTCTCTCTCTCTCTCTCTCTCTCTCTCTCTCTCTCTCCCTATCTATCTATCTATCTATCTCTTTCTCTGCCTGTCTGTCTGTCTGTCTGTCTGTCTGTCTCTCTCTCTCTCTCTCTCTCTCTCTCTCTCTCTCTCTCTCTCTCTCTCTCTCTCTCTCTCTCTCTCTCTCTCTCTCTCTCTCTCTCTCTCCCTCTCTGTGGGTTGTATTTTCTCTGTCCCTCAGGCTCTCTCTTTCTCTCTCTTTCTTCCCTCTCTCTGTCTCTCAATTTCTCTCTTTCTCTCTCTTACTCTCTCTCTCTCTCTCTCTCTCTCTCTCTCTCTCTCTCTCTCTCTCTCTCTCTCTCTCTCTCTCTCTCTCTCTCTCTCTCTCTCATTATCTGTCTTCTCCTTCTCCCTCATTCGCATTATGGAATATGAACATTACATTCCAACATGATAATCAAGAACAACTTGATAATTAAGTTTATTAGAAACAAAATAATAGATACAGATAATACAGATAATAACTGATAATGAAGAATGTATGATGAGAAATGAAGTGAAGAATAGAAAAAAAAATACATGTTGGTTGTGTTGGCTGTTATCGAGGAGGTTAGAAAGAGGGAGAAGGAAGAAATGAAAAGACTAAGAACACGAAGGAGGAGGAGGAAGAATGAGGAGGAAGAAGAAGAGGAGGATGGAGGAAAAAAAGGAGGAGGAAGAAGAGGAAGAAGAAGAGGAGGAGGAGGAGGAGGAGAAAGAGGAGGAAGAAGAAGAGGAGGAGGAGGAGGAGGAGGAAGAGGAGGAGGAGGAATGGGAGAGAAGAATAAGAAAAAAAGCGGGATGAGGAGAAAGAGAAAAAGACGAAGAAGGAAGAGAAAAAATGGAGAAACAGACAATTATTAAAAAAAAAAATGCTTCTAGTTTTAGTTATAGCATCAGTTAACGATAGTAACATCAAGAGAAGCATAAACAGAGCGAAAATAATAATTAAAAAAATCCCATTTCATATAGGAAATTAACTTCATCACTCGAATAAAATAGAAAGAAATAAAAACAACAACAGATATATCTTTAGAAAATTAGTTGAACACTTTCCTCGTTGGCAAAACTTTCAATTTCTAAGACGCGGTTTTGTCTTTTAGAAACTCCCTTCGAGAAACTTTTTTTTTCTCTTCTTTTTTTTCCCCCAACATCAAAATATTTTTCCCCTCTTCGCCCTCTCTCTCTCTCTCTCTCTCTCTCTCTCTCTCTCTCTCTCTCTCTCTCTCTCTCTCTCTCTCTCTCTCTCCCTCTTTCCTCCATTTTCTAGCTAATTATTTTCGGCAATGTGGTTGATTAACAAATGGATGTGGGCGCACTAACTCATATACACACACGCATACATAAACGCACACAGACCTACGAACGAATAAATACTTACATACATACATACAGACACATGCAGACACACATAAACTTACAAACACACAGCCACACACACAAACTTATAACCGCACACACAAATACACAAACTTACAAACACATAAACAGACACACACACACAAATTTATAGCCGGGCTAATACACACACACAAACTTATAAACACACACACACAAAGTTACAAACACACACACACAAATTTATAAACATACAAATACAAACACACACACAAACTTACAAACACAACCACACACGCACAAACTCATACCCACACAAACACACGCACAAATACACCCCTAATTTTTTCCTTTTATTTTTTTTTTTCAAATTTCATTCCCCAACTTTGTCCCTCAGTCAATGCCCCGCAATGAATAATGGCATTAGCAACACTGCACTTACACTCACGCAAACACACTGATCTGGCGAAGGTCGAGGTAATGGCAGATGGCACTGGTATGACGTCATCTCTGTCACAGTGAGTGTGTTTGTTTGCTGTGTCATCTTTATTAGCATGATTGGTTTGTAATGGTTATTTATTTTATTAGCGTTATGATTATTGTTATTTTTTTTTTACTATCTGATTTCAGTTATATGTTGCTTGTAATTAATGTTATATATATATATATATGTACATACCTATATATGTATGTGTGTGTGTGTGTGTGTGTGTGTGTGTGTGTGTGTGTGTGTGTGTGTGTGTGTGTGTGTGTGCATGTGTGTGTGTGTGTATGTATGTATGTGTGTGTGTGCGTGTGCTATGTGTTGATAATTGTAATTTTAAGAGAAAAAATAAAACCTCAACAAATTTTGCTATTCATTCCACGATCAATTAATTATTTATGAATATACATTATAATTCACACACACACACAAAAAAAACTTGAAATAGAAATGAAAAGGTCAATATGAAAATAAACAAACCCAAATAACAAATACATAAATAAGCAAAAAAAAAAAAAAAAAAAAAAAACCTGCCCACCCCCCTTTCCTCCTCCCCTCAAAAAAAAAAAAAAAGGAAAAATATCCGTAGAAAATGCAAGCCAGAGAGAAAGTGAATTTGACATTTAATATTGCATGCTTTAATGGATTCATTACCTCGAATCTTTGTCGTTTCTTGAATGCGAGTCTGTTTGCTCACGGGTATTTATTATTTCACAAAAGCTTTCTAGTTCATTGTACAAAAAGGGTGAA